CAGCTTTTGCTGAAATCCGAGACTCGGTGCACTCCAACCAACTGGCGTGCTGCAACTGTATAGACCCCACTTCGTGAAATGTTTGCATAGAGGGCTCTTGTTGATTTGCTGGCCCGCCTTCACTTAGGGCGGGCACTAGGCTTGCTGGGGCCTTAGCCCAGAACATGTACATCATGGCAAGGCCCCTTCTTGAGGGCTCAATCTGTACATTCCATCTCCCTTAGCTTCGAAAGTCCGCTGAGATGCTTACTTTGCAGGTGCCTTCCCTTTCAGTTTCTTCTCGTAGTCTGCCACCACCTGAGGAGCTGTGTCAATCAGTTCCTCCCTGGTAAACCAACGATCTTCTTTTGGATCCGTGTGATTCCTGAATCTGACGCGGTACTCTCTCTTGGGCTTGGGAGGTCTTCCTCGGCCCAGCGGCTTTGGAACAGGCATGTCCCTGTGATCCACAATGTCGTCGATGTCAACTTGACCATCCATGGTTGGGGGCAGCATCGATGTCCTGGAAGGGAAACGATCAGTCTCAGCGAAAGGTGCAAGCTTTGAGGCATGAAAGACTGGGTGAATGCGTAAGTGTCCAAGGACACGAATGACATATGTGGGACCATCCAACTCATCTCCCACTATATCCAAGACTTCCCAGGGACCAAAGTATTGAGGCATTAGTTTGCGAGATATTCCGAACTCTTGTCCTAACTCACTAGCCTTGACCCAGACACGTTCCCCTACCTGAAATGAGGATTGTCTACGATGTTGATTCTTAGAAGCAATCATTGCTTGCTGAGCTTTCTTCATATGTTCGACAGCGTCTTGCAACAACTTTTCATACTGCACACCAAACTCCAGTGTGCCTGGGGTTGCAGCAGGTCGGTTTTCAGGAAGGAGGAAGCCTAATGCGGATCTAGGATTCCAACCCAAGTGTAGCTGGTTAGGACTAGCGCCGGTACTACTGTGTATAGCATTGTTGTACAGGCTGGCGATGAGAGGTAACTGCTCATCCCAGTCATCCTGGCTGGGCTTGATGTAATGCCTCAGCAAGTGTTGTACAACTCTATTCATTTGTTCGGCCTGTCCGTTGGCTTCGGGATGATTCCCTGAAGTCATCTGAAGTTGACTGCCCATCTGTTCTGCAGTCTTCTTCCACAGCTCACTTGTGAATCGGACGTCTCGGTCACTAATGATGGTCTTTGGTAAACAAAAGTCCCTCACCCAGTTGTCCTTGAACAACTCGATGACGTATTTTGTCCTGGCTGTCTCTGGCATTGGTACTAGTCTAGCGTATTTGGTGAATCTGTCAATGATGACGAAAATGTGCCTCTTACCACTCTTGCTGGTCACCAGGGTGTCCATGAAATCCATGGAAACACTCAATTTTGGACCATCAGGAATGGGTAAAGGCTTCAATAACCCAAGCGGTGCTTGAGTTCGCGGCTTGTCCCGCTGATAGACCTGACAGGTCTCAACATACTTCTTGGCGTCATCTAGCATTCTGGGCCACCAAAATCGCTATACTAAGTTAGCACTCGTCTTTTTGTAGCCAAAGTGCCCAGTTGCGTCATGACATTCGCCTAAAAATAAACTACGCAACTATTCACTAGATGGAACTACCAATCTCTTTACTCTGGCCTTATCAAGATAGATTAGCCCATCCACCATCACAAACTCACTTTCTGTGACCTTGTCTTTTGCCTGAAGTTTGCGGATGATGTCCATCGTGACAGGGTCTTCCTGATAGGCTCCCACCAATGATTGAGTTACTTCATTAGATACGCCAAAGTCAGAAACTAGCGCACCTAGGTAGTCTGCGCTACGGGATAGCGCGTCTGCAACCTTGTTGTACTCTCCCTTCAGGTACTGAAGCTTGAAGTTATATTGGTCTATGACCTCAATCCATCGCTTGAGTGCATCAGAAAGAGCCGGTTGAGTCTTGATCCATTTGAGGGTCTGATGATCAGTCCTCAGATAGAAGAACCTTCCCAAAAGGAAGTGTCTCCAATGGACAAGTGCCTTGTAGAGAGCATAGAGTTCCCTTTCGTAGGTGGACTTAGCCAACTTCTTCGATGGCATCTTCTTACTCATGTACTCAATCGGTCTCAACTTTTTCCCATCCTGCTGAGCCAGCACTGCGCCAATGCCGTATTGGCTTGCGTCAGTGGTCACTATGAATGGCTTCTGCAGATCGGGAACCATGAGAACTTCATGATTCATGAGTGCATGCTTCAATCTCTTGAAAGCACCCTCGCACTCATCACTCCAGTCCCACGGTGTGTCAAGTCGAGTTAGATCAGTCAAAGGAGAGGTGACTGTTGAATAGTTCTTTACGAAGTTCCTATAGTAGCCGCACATTCCTAAGAATGATCTGACCTCAGTGACAGTCTGAGGTCGTGGCCAGTCTCGAATACTAGCCACCTTTGCATCTTCCGGCCTTATCCCTTCCGCGGATACTTCATGACCCAAGTATAGTATCTTAGTGCGACCGAATTCACACTTCTCTAAGTTGACCTTATACTTGTGCTGTCGGAGGAGTGAGAGAATTCTCACAACATGTTGTGCGTGCTCCTCAACAGACTTACTACAGATCAGAATGTCGTCTAGATAGACTGCAACAAACTTATCTAAATGGTCATGGAAGATCCGATTCATAGCGTGCTGGAATGTACCCGACGCATTGCAAAGACCGAAAGGCATCACTACAAACTCATACAGACCATATCTAGTATGAATGTTGTCTTGTGTTGGTCCTCAGGTCTTATTGCGATTTGATGATATCCGGATTTCAAGTCTATCTTCGTATAGTACTTGTATCCCTGCACTCTATCCAATAGGTCGTCTATGCGAGGTAGAGGCTCTGCGTTTTTTACCGTGATGGCATTGAGGCCCCTATAATCAATGCACATCCTCAAAATACCCCCCTTCTTTGGTACGAATAGCACAGGTGATCCGTAAGGGGAAGTAGTAGGCCGAATCCATCCCTTCTCTGTCAGCTCCTTGAGTTGCTTCCGAAGTTCATCTAACTCGGCAGGGGCCATCCTATAGATCCTTCCCTTTGGGGTCTTACTCCCTGGAATGATTTCTATAGCGTGGACGACTTCCCTAGCAACAACTCCTGTGGGCTCCTCGAACAGATCAGGGAACTTACCAACGACGCGTTCTATCTCTGGGGGTGTTTTAATGACCTCCCCCTTCTCAGAGACATAAACAAGGTACATACCTTCCTCTTGGTTTTGCTTATAGTAATTGTAGAACGCAGATGCGCACAAGCAGCCATAGGTATCTATAATACTACTTGCCTTGAACTTAGTCATTCTGACAGTTCGGCCATCGGGCAACTTCTGTTTGAGCACCTTCTTATCCCGGTCAAACTGGGGCATTGCAATGTCGAGGTAGTACATGCCTAGCAACATGTCAATTGCAAGTCGTCACTAACCAAGAACGAGATTTTATGGTTCAGCTCACCTCCTCCATAGGAGAAGGTACAGACTACGTCCTTGAGGTAGTCCGTGACAATCATGCGCTCCTTGTTGGCCAAAGTAGATGCTACTGGTCTACTAAGGTGCCGTAGCCTGTCCTGTAGGTGCAGCCTTTCCAAACAGTCACGACTTATGTAATTCCGCGTGGAACCTGTGTCTATGAAGGCACCACATTTGCGGCCTCCTACATCCACTTCCACCACGAAATGTTCCCCTCTAGGACCTTTCTTTAGCGCCACCCAAGACTCACGAGGGTCCTTGTTTGACCACTCGCCTTCTAAGTCTTCTAAGGCCTCAGACACATCTAACGTACAGAGCATAGTTTGGTCTAGATGCGTCTGCGGGGTAGCTAAGGAGTCATTAGCTTCGGCCTTGTCATGAAGTGAGGAGGGTATCTTTCCCACTTCATCTTGAGTAGAAGCCACTATTTCTTCAATGACCCTACGCGTTTCCCGAGCTAGAAGCCTGGGAAATAGTTGCCCCAACCTTTGGTGCAACCTTTTGCGTAACCTTTGCGTTCGAACACTTCCACTGCGTGTGTCCGTATTCACCGCAGTTGATACAAGCACCACGCGATCGGCGGTCACGCCACACGTCCTGGTCAAGACCTGCCTTCACCCACTCAGCCTGCTTGGACTGATTGGGGGCGGCCTTCCCTTGACTCCTTGGTTGGCCCTTCCCTCAGCCACCTGCCTTAGTCTTTACTACCGTGGCGAGGGTGCTACCCTCAACTACCTCCTCGCCGTCATACTCTGAGTAGTCCATCAGCTCAGAGAGCTCATCGATCTCAGTTTGAGTCCCATTAGACTCAACCATCATCAACTTTGCCCCCTTCTTCTTCCACTCCTGAGGACTCTTCTTCTTCTTTGAGTCATTCCCTGAGGTGGGTTGAGCATTGCCTAGCGTGGCCTCTAAGTCTAAGGCTTTCCTAGACAATGTCTCAAACGAGTGGTACTCGGTGCGTGCCTCACTGGCTAGTAAGTTCCTCATGTTCTCTGGAAGACACCTAACAAACGTAGCTCAGAGGAACTGGTCACTGTAGTTGATGCCTGGGACGAGGATCAGGCTCTCGACGGTAGTCGTAAGCTCTCTAATTGACCTGAACTTTCGTTGGTCCAGTTTGTTAATGGCATCAGTGGCCTTTTGAGCCTCCTGTGGGTTATGCCATCGAGCTTCTACCATCTCCATGAATTGGTCTAGAGTCAAAGACTTAGCCCAATCTGCCATGCGTCGCCCATACCCGACTTTCACAACTACCCCATTTAGCCATTTGGCTGCTTTACCGTCAAGGTAAGAAGCCGCAGTTACCACCTCATCCTCTGGCAAGGTCCTTTTGGCCTTCACCCAAACCGGGATCGTCCTCAACCATGTGTTGAGTTCTTCGTCCTTTCTCTCACCTGAGAAGGCAAGGGGCGGTTTCATTGGGGTCTTGGGATACCATTGACCTTGCGGCTGTCCCTGTGAAGGAACAGGTTGTTGCGGTGACCGCTGGACCCGAAGAAGAAGACGCAACAGTCTGTGAGACTGCTGCAGATGTGCCACTTGGCTGTGTGCCAGCTTGAACCGCAAAGGGGCCTGACATCGCCGTTAACGGCAACGGCGATTGTGCTGGTGGTCGGAATCCTGGCTTTGTTAAGGCATCCAGGATCTGGTCCAAAGTGCTTTGCATGAAGTCCATCCTGCTGTCTACGTGCGCATGCAGTGACAACATGTTGTCCCTCGACACTTTTTGGGTGTCAGACAAACTCGATTCGTCCAATCCCTCTAACGCAGCCTTGTCAGCCTCTAACGTCTCAAGTCTGGCTGCTCTACTTTTCATCACATTTTCTCTATCGGTAGCATCTTTCAGGTCCTGCTCTAACTTACGGCGGAGCCTCTCGACCTGCTGGATCTCTCTGAGCTCCCTCTCACGCGGGGTCAACAGGCTGAACTGCGCGACCGCCATTTGACTAGAAGACTGTCTAGAACCTGTAGAACCGGAAGTGCCCGAGGAACTTGTGGAACTCGTTGGCATTCCCACACTCATCCCATTAGTCCCTGACAAAGCCGCAGAGGATGCTGCTGAGCTAGTCATGGCTGCTGCCCTAGCTGTTGCGGCAGCCTGTTCCCTAGCTGCGGCGTTTGTTGTTGCTCTCGATGCTGCGAGAGCACGGGCTCTGCGTTCGGCACGAAGCTGTCTTAATTCTTCCTCGTCCAAGGTCCTGAACACATGTGGAACCCTTAATGCTTCCGAACGTGTAAGTCTCCTATTGTCAACTCTATCATCAACAGGATCTGTTCCGCTCATTAGTTAGACAGATACTATCTGCACTAGAATCCCCTAGTGGAATCCTACCACAGCATGTATCTGACCGGCACGTAATTTTCTAAAAATAGTTGTCTCCGGCGAGTTCCCTACTATACCGAATCAAGTGGCATGTCTACAACATTCACACAGATTGCCTACATAGTCTAGATGCACCCTGATTGGTTCACTTACAGCAGCCTTAGTTAGAACTGGCTATGGTGGCATACATCAGTCCTACACTAATCTGTCTGTGAGGTTAGCTATCCGTCAACCAACTAATCAAAGGTTCAAAAAGACAATGTAGCAGATGCATGATTGATGGATATGGTTGTGTATACAGTTGAGCACCAATTGGAACCTACCCTCCCCTCCATCCAACATACCGAACAGCATCAATGAGCGAGCCGTGTCTTCGTGTGTGTTTCGGCCCACCCCTGTGCCCAAGTTGTCACCGAGCAAGCCAGCCCAACCACTCTTATTTACCCTCGTACGGCGACGAGCCTTCCTGTCCATGTCATCTGGCTGATCAGGAGGAATTTATAGAGCGCCCCCATCTCTGCAGGAATTATTTAACGTCGCAGTCAGGACGACGATCACATCCAGATTCACAATGAACTCCCAACCAGATATGTTTATAGACGGTCTGGTAAGCGTCTGTCATGGGCTGGCACACCCGGAGGAACTTCTATCAGCGCAGCAACTGCCAAACAGGACAGCAGCCATCGCATGCGTGCACTACTCCCTGTGGGTTGGCATGGTGACCGTGACCCAAGTGCTTCGACCAGGGCCCTTCAGAGGCACCGCCCTTWCTCCTTCCAGATGCTTCCGGGAAGATTGTCGTCTCTCAAGGYAGCGCGCTCACGACACCTCACCAAAAGAGAGGACTCTCAAGTTGGACKCACTTCCTCACGGTAAGAAGAGATTGAGAGAGTAGATAAGGTAAGGGAACAACGTACCTGGAGATAGCTGCCCCCAACCACAAATTTCTCACCAATTGAGCTGATGTTGCATTTGATGACCGGTCATGACCTCGGTACCACCCACAACGCAATGCAGTGCCACCTTAGTCCAATGCCACATCAGCATGCTCTCATCACCAATCAAACATTCCGCTGTATCCCACGACTAATGATGCCGTCAATAGCCTTCCGGTGCACCCCTCTCTACCCAGGGCGTGCACCTAGTGTAGCCTGACGTCACAAGTACCCACTGCGAAGAAGCATCGTCAACGCACCAAGTCTGTATAACGCCAGCATGCCAAAGGTAAGTGGCGATCAAACCAGCTCCGATACCAAATTGCAAGGAACATGAGTATGGACGAAGCACAGAAATCCAGAATACAAAATCACACTGAAGTCCATGTAGTCAAAGCCAAAGCAGATAGCACATGGAACCGAGTAACCATCCAATTGAGAATGATACAGAAGAATCGTGAGTCAATGTCCATGCCCAACAAAGGCAACACCAACAGCATAACCCAAATGTAGCTCTCTCTTGTGAATGGCGCCAGGCGCCCTATCTACTCTACAGCTATCCTACAACTACAGCAATGAAAAGCAACCAGACAACTTGACTACCAACGAGTGATGATGTCAACACCAATGCCGACCTCCACCATCACCAGGTACGTGTCMTCTTCCCCACAVTCTCCCTTGTTACCCACACAGCGCCCTTCACCTCCGAAGTACCACCTTCGCCCTCACCTCCCCTGCRCCCTCATGCGGCCCGACTATGGCCGCCAGTGCCCTGCATGCAGGCAGCGCCCTACCGCCTAGCGCTGGCCTGCTTGTCTTAGCGCAGCAYTGCCTYGCACAGCGCAGCACACATGCATCCGCGCAGCGTGCCCRCAAGTGCCAGCATTGGCCAAGATCCCTGCTGCCTCGCCCTGCTTGCCTATATGCCAATGCAGCAWGTGGGCGGCCTCCCTTCAGCCTGCGACCGGGACCCAGAGGCTGAAGCCTACYCGATGCAGTTGGGCCYYGRAGCAATGCAGTTGCGCCTCTCTCATCAAGGCCTGCGGCCAGATTCAGGTAGTGGGCCGATTTTCCCTTTGGCATTTCGGCCTCTCTACCCAGCATGCATTGTCGGCCTCACGTTCGAGTGCCCAGGGCCTAACTAACTCAAAGGCCCTGGGCATTTCAGCTTTTGCTGAAATCCCTGACTCGGTGCACTCCAACCAACTGGCGTGCTGCAATTGTATAGACCCCACTTCGTGAAATGTTTGCATAGAGGGCTCTTGTTGATTTGCTGGGCCGCCTTCACTTAGGGCGGGCACTAGGCTTGTTGGGGCCTTAGCCCAGAACATGTACATCATGGCAAGGCCCCTTCTTGAGGGCTCAATCTGTACATATTTTTCTCATATATTTTAATTCATAAATTTCCTTTTTGCAATTTTTTTTGAAATTCGAAAAATTCTATTTCGCAATTCTTTTTTGAAATTCTCTTTTTGTTCAGAAGTACTTCCCTTCTTTTTTCTTTGAACTCCTTAATTAATTGCGACTAAACTCGATTAATTCTCTACTGAATTAATCTCTTTTACTCGGAATTAATCACCCCTTTTTGAAATTATAAAATTTTACCCCGAACGTAAATCCGAATAAATTTCGTCGGAATTTATTTTTCTCGGAATGAATTTTTTTTTTCTTCATTTGAAAATTCCTGAAAATTTTGCTTTCGTATTTTCTTGAAAAATACACTTGCGAATGAGTTTCGGATAAATTCAAATTAATTTACGCTCTATTCTTGTAAATAGGAATTGTCCCCCCTATCTCCACATGCCACCGCGCCAAACCAAGAACTCCCAAAGCGCCGCTGCTGACGCCGTCGCTGCTGCCGTCGCCACCGCTGCTGCGTCATCCTCCACGTCCGTTTCGGCCGCGTCCTCCACCCCCTCTTCCCCCGATATGACCGCATCCTCCATCAACATGTCTGACATCCGCACCGACTCGGTCGATAGCATCGGCCACAACCTGGTTGGCGTTCAACCACAGCAAACACCGCCACCCCCGACCTCTCCACCATCCTCCACGCACTCAACACCTTTCAAACCTCCGTCACCGCCTCTCTAGATGACATAAAGGCCACCATGTCGTCCGTGTCCGACCACGTCACCACGCTCAAAGCTCCATCACGGTCGTCACCACGGCCGCACCTCCCTCCTCCACAACGCAAAACACTCCCTCCTCCACAGCGCAAACCACTCCCTCCTCCATAACCGCCTCCAGCAACACCCCCTCGCCGACCTCCTCCACTCCTACCACCTCTACCACCACATCCACCAACCCTTCAACCTCCACCACATGCCCCTTGCCCACTGGCTCCCCATTGCCACCTCCCGCCTCCTCGACAATGTCGCCAAATGGTGGATGGCTGAAGTCAGCAACCGTCGAGCCTCCGGAGGACCACGTCACTCCTTCCTCCAATGGGCCAACCTTCTCACTGCCACCTTTCGCCCCCAGAAAACCATTGATGACCACCTTGAACAATTCTACCACCTCAGCCAGACCGGTCCCACAGACCGCTTCGTCCAATATGTCCGCTCCCCCCGCCACCACCTCCCCACCACCGTCATTCCCGACTTTGCGTTCATCTCCCGCATCAAACAGTATGCCACAAAGACCTTGCAACCGCCCTCGCCCACGAACCCGACATGCCCCTTGCTGACCTCCTCTCTCGCATGCTTCACCATGATCGACTCCTCCACCCCCATCACCAATCCGCGCCCGCGCCCGCGCCCCGCGTTTTCCATAACGACACCACTCCACCCACCTCCGATGACGACTTCGACACTGCCTCTCTCGACCCCTCCCAATTCACCATTGAGGACCTCCAGACCGCCCACCTTATGCGGATGGAACGCCAGGATCATGCCTCCCGACCGCCCTCTGCCTCTCCACCCCGTCCTCTCCAAAAACTCGCACCCGCAGAACGCATATACCTCCAGGAACGCAACAAGTGTTTTCGTTGCGGCCAATTAGGTCATCAATAGACCAACTGCCCCAACGCTAACCATTTTACTCGACCGGCCCCTCGCTCCACGGGACCCGGCCCTTCTACTCCCAATTCTTTCTCCACCACGACAGTCGGGCCCTCCCCCACCTGAACACTGTCCCCCTGTCTCTTGCAATCCTCCCCAGGCATCGACCACTTGTCTGGCAAATCTGACGATCTCTCCTCCACCGGTGGCTCACTTGGCATTGACTATCCGTCTGCCTACCCCCCCTTCGGTGACACACATCCCATCGGACGACCCCCGGGCGACACAATCTACTCCGCCTGCCCCCCTCCCGACGAAGTCTGCTATCTCGTCGGTTGAGCATCCCATTGGCACCCGCTCTTCTACTCTCAACCCTAAACCCCTGTATAAACCCTGCTACAACCTCGCAACCCCGCTCTACACACACCCTTGAACCCAGTTCACCCTCCCCTTGACCCTGATTCCTTATGTCTGATCTGCCCTTGTCCTCGCCTAGCCTTGTCCCATCTATCCTCTCCACTACCTTGTCTCTCTTGTCCAATGCTTGTGAACCTGCGTGACACCAACGATAAAGGATCTAATGGCAAGCGCATGAGGACGATGGCCTGCTGGCTCACTGTTCATGGAGATTATGCAGCTGGTTTGGCCACCATGCTGTTTCATYGGYCGGCATCCCGACTCGCGGACTTACTGGAGCAGCAACTTGTGACATGGATCTTTGCATCAGTCTGCGACTTCCTTGCTTCCAGATCAGACCTCATTGCAGTTTGTGTACCGAACACACCCTAGCACTTGGACTTTGACATTTGAACTACTACTACGCTTCTTGGACTTCTACTTGTCGCAGCCGCTGAAGACCGCTTCTACCACCTACTCCAAAGACCTGATCAAGACCGCTGCAGACCCCCTTTCAAGACACTTGGACACTTCGTTCCTACATGAGATTCTGCTTCCGACTCCTTCGGACACACCAGCCCTTGCATCCTGAACAAACATTTTCATTTTTATTTTTCCTAACTTTGACAATCCTGTAGAACATCATTAGCAGATCCTTGTTTCCCTAACCATTGTTCCCCGTACGCACTAGAACATCAATAGAACTACCCGATTTTCCTGAACATTGTTTCCCTTACCCAGTATAACATCAATAGAAGTTCCCTGTTCCCTGAACTATGTTCTCCCTTAACTGAGCAAACCATGCAGTCCCCTTAGTTCATCAGTATGTTCCCTGTTCCCTGAACTATGTTCCCCCTTAACCGAGCAAACCATGCAGTCCCCTTAGTTTATCAGTATGACTACCCTGCTCCCTGCCGTCCCTTTAGTTCATTTGTAGGACTACCCTGTTCCCTGCAACCGCCCCTAGTTCATCAGTAGGACAACCCTGTTCACCGGTATCAAACCCTGTGCCCTCTTACTCCCGCAGCCCATGCCACACACATTATACCCCTCTTCCCTTTCGACTTGTTAACCAGTGATCGGCCCCATGAGGCAGCATTGCTTCATGATTTTTGGCAGCCGGGACGTCGCCTTCTAGAGGGAGGGGATAGTGTTACGGACTCCGCCAGGGCTCGATCCGTGGTCTATCTTTTTGCTGTTTCGGCTGCATCCCATTTTCGGCCTGGCACCCTTTTTCCAAACCCCTCCTTTGGTACCGTAGGATTTTGGACAACTGGCGCCATGCTGCAATTCGGGCGCCACTTTCAAATACCGCATTTTTCAGTTCTGCCCTCCGGGCCTTTGCAGAAATGCCCCTGGTACCGTAGGTGTCACCGGTACTTATACCTGCTGCCCGTACGGTACGGGGAGCAGTCTCGTACCAATTTTCTGTTGTACTTACTAAGTGTGACTTGCTTCGACGTTGTGTTCGGAAATCCAAGACTTCGACTTTGCGACTTTGCCACTTCGTGTCTGCGTCCGTTGAGTCGTGTCGAGTCTGCGTTGAGTTGAGTGTGTGTGTGCGTGCTCTCACTCTCTCCCTCTCTCTCCCAGCCTCGTTGCCTCAACCCCGTCACAATGAGGCTTGAGGCTCTTGACACTTGGTTGAGAATGGTTCCAATGTGGGTCAGGGCAAAGAGGACACTGGTAGAGGAAGAGGTGGTCACTGTCGCCTCATATTTGGAGGGTTGAACAACACGATGGCTAGATGGATTAGTAGCCTTGAAAGGGTTCGGCAGGCGCATGAATAATTGGGCTAAGACCCATACTCTTCAGAGCTTCATGGAACTGGTAGAAACGCGATGGCACAACCCGCAGCAGGCCTAGCAGGCCCAGCAGGCCACTGACGCGTTGACCCGACATAATACTAAGAAGTACAAGTCCGCGCGTGAGCTTACCTCTGTCATGGAGCGTCTCATTGTCGTACCCGTCGTGCGCTACGATCCACAGGTCTTTATGACCATGCATCTTAGATGTCTTCCCCCAGACGTCAAGAACCTGCTGGTCAGTGAAGCCAGCATCAAATATCACACTCTGGACTCCTTCAACAAGAAGGCCCTAGACTTTGAGGTTAGGCTAGGAGGAAGCCAACAAACCCCTACAGACTGAAGAAAGAAGAAGAGTCCACAAGAGTGAAAAAAAAAAGGTAGTCGATTGATGATGGTTGATTCCGAAGGGAATAAAACTAAGATCGATGATTACTCCGACTTAGTGGACGACACACAGTTTGAGGACAAGGATAGTGTTGAGGGTAGCAACCTCATCTCTCTATACATATAAAGGAAGACGCGGGTCTCGCGTGACGGTCCCACGCGAGACCCGGTTCCCTGGTGTGGGACTCGTGGCAGGCCCAAAGGCAGACTGCGTGCCGGTTAGGTGAGGCCGGGGGGTCGAGTCGGGTTGCCTGCGGGTGGCCAGCGGGCTCTTTTTTCGGTACCGTTTTTTTTTGCGCCGCGCGGTGGGGGGGTTGGTGTCGGCGCGACTTTATGCACGGGCTCTTTTTCGGCTACGGTTTTGTCGGCCATGTTCAAGCAGGTAGTGAATATTTCCATGTTCTTGGGGAAGAGTCGTACGATTTTGCTCATCCTATCACTGGAAGTGCCATGATGCGTTTGGCCATATTCAACCAGGTAGTGTATATTTCCATGTTCTACCCGAAGATTCATTGGATGTTGCTCATCCTATCGATGGAAAAAGCATGGCGCAAGCCGCGAGGTTGGATCGTCTCTCTCTCTCTCTCTCTCTCTCTCTCTCTCTCTCTCTCTCTCTCTCTCTCTCTCTCACACACACACACACACACACACACACACACACA